GCAATCAAAAACGCAAAAACCCGCATCTAAAATAGTATAATAGAAGCCAAGTTTTTCACAGTAAGCCTTAATCCTGTCTCTCTCCCTTGCGGTGGAATATCGAAAAATTTCTTCTTAGTGTACATTCTGTTGACATACCCTATTAAAACGCAATCAAAAACGCAAAAACCCGCATCTAAAATAGTATAACAGAAGCCAAGTTTTTCACAGTAAGCCTTAATCTTGTCCCTCTCCCCCCAATGGGGTAATTTCGACATGTATTCGACAGCCTATGTCCACCCTGAAATTCCATTCTAAATATTGGTGAAAGAATTTTTGAAATGGAATGAGTAGTTTCGGAGATTACCTGCTGCATACAAACTAACATACATACAAACATTACCTCTTTATAATATTAGTATAGATTAATTATTTGATATTTATTGAAAATTGGTTACGATGAGCATTTTAAACTCAAATGTACAGTGAGCAAATTATTACATGTACTGTTCTGTACATTTATATATTAAAAACCTGTAATTCTATCAGTATTTAATATTATCAAAAGTAACTAATGGATTTACTAATTATTCTGTTTTAAATAATAAAATAAATTTCAATTTTCTTCATTGTAACTTAATAAAATATTAAGTTTGATTTAATATATAACTTGTCTTTCATAACTTTACTGTATGAAGTTGTTGTTGTTATTATTATTAAAATATAATTTACGTCTTTTGAAATCTAAACATTAAAAAAAATACAATAAAGAATTTTCAATAAATAATTAAAAATGACAAAGTCTTACCTGTACAATGTACTAAAAGCTTTCTCACAACCAGATACATCACATTCAAATGGTTTTTCTTTGGTATGAACTCTAATATGTATTTTTAAACTATATGATGTTAAAAATGCTTTTCCACATCCTTCTTGGGTACAAATAAAAGTATATTCGCCTGAAAACACAAAACAAGTTTCTATAAATGTTTACATAAATTTAAACAAATAAATTCTATAAAAATTTCAAAAAAATAAAAATTGTCTGTATAATAATAAATATGCCATAAATATAATTAAAATTTAATATAGACAACTTAATAAATTTGAATAGTAATAATAATTAATAATAAAATGAATAGTGGTTATTTTATCTAATAAAATGTAAATAAAATTATTGAAATTTAACTTATCAGAAAGTAAACAATTTGCCTTTTAATCTGAACTTGTAAAATTTAACTAAATTATTGATAGATTAATTTAAAAAATAATCATTTTTAATTTCTTTAAATAAAAATAATTAATTTATGAGCCTGAATAATTGAAAAACTGGTTCAATGAATTCAAGTTTATTTTTTAAACAAATAAATATTATACCTTATACATATTTATTCACATACATATATCCTAAACTTGTATGAAATTACAATGTTATTTCTTATATAAAATATGCAATAATGACTAAGCTCTTATTTGTTACAATGTTTCTTTTAAAATATTTTCTAAAAAATTTTAATGAAAAATTAAGTAATAATCTTAAAATAATTTCATCATTATTTGTTTCATTTATTCATTCATCATTTTATCACTTTGATAAAAAAAATTTTAATTGATAAAAATATTATCATTGAAATATTTTGTGTTATAATGATGATAAATTTAGTTTAAATGAACATATTTCAAATATTTGCACATCTAATTTAATTACTTACTAAAAAAGCTAACACTGAATGAATAATAAATGTAAAATATGACAAAATATTTAAACTAAATTCATTTTTTTCTGTTTAAAAAATGGAATTTATAATTATTGTCTACATTTTTAAAATATCAAGAATGTTTACATATTTTAAATGATACTGAATTGATTCTTTAAGCAATTTTAATAGTTAATAAATGATAAAGTGATTTTTTTAAAATAATGTTTATATTAAAGTTTGAGCAAATATACATTAAGCAGTAGTATAGCCAGAATTTACTAAATTAACACACGAGAACCTTATTATGTCCCAGTAATGATAAAAATTAAATAAAACTAATGTTTTCGACCATATTCATTGTCTTCTGCAGGCTTTTGACCAGTACAATTTGAATATGGAATGCATCAAACAATATGTTTAAATTATCTTAATTCCGAAATTTATAAATTATATTAATTCCGAAAAATTTAAAACTAGAAGATAATATTTTAGCCAAATGTGCTACTATAGTGATAAAAATATCTTTACATCACAACAAATAAATAATAAGATGTATTTAATAGTGTGGAATAAGCACCTAATGTTGCTCTCGTTTTTTTCTCATAGCACCACCTCCACGCGTAAGAAACATTAGCTGCATCCTTTGTGTTAATACAGTTTAATACATTGTACTGGTCAAGAGCCTGAGGAAGACCATGAATATGGTTGAAAACGTTAGTTTTATTTAATTTTTATCACTACTGGTATATAATAAGGTTCTCATGTGTTAATTATCCTTCGCAGTGTTTCTGAGAGAAATTGTTTTTTTTTTTAATTTACTTAAGCAAGCAGTTTAGTATTTGAGTCTTCCCTTTGAGATGGCTCAGATACATATAGTTCTACACTGATATAAGCAAGTGTATTAATTTTCTTTTTTATAATAGGCCTCTCTTTCTCTGTATGTCAATAAACAATTACAATGTACAGTACAAATATAATTATTTCTTTATTTTGTTATCTGTAAAATAAGCTAAAATAAGTTTTGAATATCTAAAGGTGGGGTCTGAATTCCATAGTTTCTACTGGCTATGCTACTAATTATATATATAAGGAAAAAATATATAAATGTATACTTTTTATTCTGTATAATAAATTTCACTTATAATGGAAACTATATTATACAATTATTTTAAATAATTAGTATAAAATTGCTTTTAATGAAGTATATTTAAGTAATAATATTGTTTCTAATTTAAATATAAATATAATTTAGAAATAGCTATCATCAAGAAGATACTCTAAAATATGATTGAGAAATATTGTTTCAGACTTTAGTTTCCCCATTTGTTTAAATTATGATCAAATCTATCTTCTCCTCTTAAATCAATAAATACAATTAGATTTTTATTACAAAATATATTAATTATATTGGGATACAATTTTAGAAACATATAACACTTCAAAATTATTCTTTTATTCAATTAAAGTAGTGATTCTCAGCCATTATGCTGTGGAACACCAACTAAAAATTGCTGATATAAGATAACACACAATTCTAAAAATATAGCTCATTGCATGGTAAATGTATGTCAGAAAATAATAATAAATCTAAAAATGTGTTATAATTGGTTATAATCATTTTTTTTTATATATGAATGAATAACAGTTTGTGTGTGTTTACACTACTATGCATATGTAGCTAGAACTATTTCTAAGATTATCAGCACAAAAACCTTTCTCACTAATTTCTAGCCTTATTTAAAGGCTAGAAATTAGTGAGAAAGGTTTTTGTGCTGATAATCTTAGAAATAGTTCTAGCTACATATGCATAGTAGTGTAAACACACACAAACTGTTATTCATTCATATATAAAAAAAAATGATTATAACCAATTATAACACATTTTTAGATTTATTATTATTTTCTGACATACATTTACCATGCAATGAGCTATATTTTTAGAATTGTGTGTTATCTTATATCAGCAATTTTTAGTTGGTGTTCCACAGCATAATGGCTGAGAATCACTACTTTAATTGAATAAAAGAATAATTTTGAAGTGTTATATGTTTCTAAAATTGTATCCCAATATAATTAATATATTTTGTAATAAAAATCTAATTGTATTTATTGATTTAAGAGGAGAAGATAGATTTGATCATAATTTAAACAAATGGGGAAACTAAAGTCTGAAACAATATTTCTCAATCATATTTTAGAGTATCTTCTTGATGATAGCTATTTCTAAATTATATTTATATTTAAATTAGAAACAATATTATTACTTAAATATACTTCATTAAAAGCAATTTTATACTAATTATTTAAAATAATTGTATAATATAGTTTCCATTATAAGTGAAATTTATTATACAGAATAAAAAGTATACATTTATATATTTTTTCCTTATATATATAATTAGTAGCATAGCCAGTAGAAACTATGGAATTCAGACCCCACCTTTAGATATTCAAAACTTATTTTAGCTTATTTTACAGATAACAAAATAAAGAAATAATTATATTTGTACTGTACATTGTAATTGTTTATTGACATACAGAGAAAGAGAGGCCTATTATAAAAAAGAAAATTAATACACTTGCTTATATCAGTGTAGAACTATATGTATCTGAGCCATCTCAAAGGGAAGACTCAAATACTAAACTGCTTGCTTAAGTAAATTAAAAAAAAAAACAATTTCTCTCAGAAACACTGCGAAGGATAATTAACACATGAGAACCTTATTATATACCAGTAGTGATAAAAATTAAATAAAACTAACGTTTTCAACCATATTCATGGTCTTCCTCAGGCTCTTGACCAGTACAATGTATTAAACTGTATTAACACAAAGGATGCAGCTAATGTTTCTTACGCGTGGAGGTGGTGCTATGAGAAAAAAACGAGAGCAACATTAGGTGCTTATTCCACACTATTAAATACATCTTATTATTTATTTGTTGTGATGTAAAGATATTTTTATCACTATAGTAGCACATTTGGCTAAAATATTATCTTCTAGTTTTAAATTTTTCGGAATTAATATAATTTATAAATTTCGGAATTAAGATAATTTAAACATATTGTTTGATGCATTCCATATTCAAATTGTACTGGTCAAAAGCCTGCAGAAGACAATGAATATGGTCGAAAACATTAGTTTTATTTAATTTTTATCATTACTGGGACATAATAAGGTTCTCGTGTGTTAATTTAGTAAATTCTGGCTATACTACTGCTTAATGTATATTTGCTCAAACTTTAATATAAACATTATTTAAAAAAAATCACTTTATCATTTATTAACTATTAAAATTGCTTAAAGAATCAATTCAGTATCATTTAAAATATGTAAACATTCTTGATATTTTAAAAATGTAGACAATAATTATAAATTCCATTTTTTAAACAGAAAAAAATGAATTTAGTTTAAATATTTTGTCATATTTTACATTTATTATTCATTCAGTGTTAGCTTTTTTAGTAAGTAATTAAATTAGATGTGCAAATATTTGAAATATGTTCATTTAAACTAAATTTATCATCATTATAACACAAAATATTTCAATGATAATATTTTTATCAATTAAAATTTTTTTTATCAAAGTGATAAAATGATGAATGAATAAATGAAACAAATAATGATGAAATTATTTTAAGATTATTACTTAATTTTTCATTAAAATTTTTTAGAAAATATTTTAAAAGAAACATTGTAACAAATAAGAGCTTAGTCATTATTGCATATTTTATATAAGAAATAACATTGTAATTTCATACAAGTTTAGGATATATGTATGTGAATAAATATGTATAAGGTATAATATTTATTTGTTTAAAAAATAAACTTGAATTCATTGAACCAGTTTTTCAATTATTCAGGCTCATAAATTAATTATTTTTATTTAAAGAAATTAAAAATGATTATTTTTTAAATTAATCTATCAATAATTTAGTTAAATTTTACAAGTTCAGATTAAAAGGCAAATTGTTTACTTTCTGATAAGTTAAATTTCAATAATTTTATTTACATTTTATTAGATAAAATAATCACTATTCATTTTATTATTAATTATTATTACTATTCAAATTTATTAAGTTGTCTATATTAAATTTTAATTATATTTATGGCATATTTATTATTATACAGACAATTTTTATTTTTTTGAAATTTTTATAGAATTTATTTGTTTAAATTTATGTAAACATTTATAGAAACTTGTTTTGTGTTTTCAGGCGAATATACTTTTATTTGTACCCAAGAAGGATGTGGAAAAGCATTTTTAACATCATATAGTTTAAAAATACATATTAGAGTTCATACCAAAGAAAAACCATTTGAATGTGATGTATCTGGTTGTGAGAAAGCTTTTAGTACATTGTACAGGTAAGACTTTGTCATTTTTAATTATTTATTGAAAATTCTTTATTGTATTTTTTTTAATGTTTAGATTTCAAAAGACGTAAATTATATTTTAATAATAATAACAACAACAACTTCATACAGTAAAGTTATGAAAGACAAGTTATATATTAAATCAAACTTAATATTTTATTAAGTTACAATGAAGAAAATTGAAATTTATTTTATTATTTAAAACAGAATAATTAGTAAATCCATTAGTTACTTTTGATAATATTAAATACTGATAGAATTACAGGTTTTTAATATATAAATGTACAGAACAGTACATGTAATAATTTGCTCACTGTACATTTGAGTTTAAAATGCTCATCGTAACCAATTTTCAATAAATATCAAATAAAGAGAATGAAGTAAACATTAAAAAGGAGGAGATGAATTCCGGAATTTTCATTACACCAGCAGAGAAACTTGGAGAAATTCGAATTAAAAAGTTTCAGTTATTAAAATTGATTGTATAATCCCGAAAAAACAAAGTTGTAATAAATGGTGAGATTTTTAAATCTTTATATATTTAAATTGAAATATTTAAATTAAGAAAAGAATAGATGAAAGAGAATTTTAAAATTATAAAATTACAGAAAAATTTGATGATTATTATTATGCTAAACCAGTAATATGAGAAATTTATCTTTAGACGTCTCAAAGTTTTCATCCTTCAAGAAAATCATTCAAACCATTATTCATCGACAATTTCTCCAATGCTAAAATATACAAATTATAAATATAAATGATTATTGAAAAAAATAAATTTACGGATTTTGACTGAAATTGACTTTTATTATTAGAATTATTGAATGATGATTATTTTACATCCCTTATTTATATAAAATATTCATAATATTGAATAACTTCATTGTAGTGAGGAAACTTGAAATAAATTTTCTGTGAATTTTTATTTTTCAAAGTTCGATTTCTTTGGGTGAGTTAGTAATAACCGATTGCCTAGAGCAATCTGCCACTAGCTAGTTTTTGGGTCCATCCTTCTGCCAAATTTATTCCAAATCGTCCCAGGGGCAAAAAGATATTAAAGAGGAATTTTCGCTTGAAAGGGTTCCTATCTCGCACACGTATGAACGTTTTGGTGCTTTGCTTCTCTGCTAAATTTGATTGAAATCGGCCCGAGGGATTAAAAATTATTAGATAAAGTCATATGCCGCTAAATGCTAATCAAATGGGAATTCTTGATTATAAAGAGAGATTCAATTCTCTCATATGTCATAGTTAAGAAATTTATCTTTTATATTATATATATAAATACTATTTTTTTTTTGGAAAA